AGCAATCGTGAAAGGGAGGGGAGAGAAAAAAATAGATTTGAAAAAAAAGATTGAAGAAAAAGTGGGATGGGAAAGAGAAAAGACGAGGCTCTGAATGCTCGGGTCAGGAAGGAGAGCCCGAATAAAAAGACGTGCCATGAAAGAGCCAAGAAGCAGAAGAAGAGGCGCGAGCAGCCTCGGCGTTTGGTCCCCTCGTGGCTGGAGACACTAGAAAGGGGTGGAACAGAGTGGCTCTATCAGTCTCTTGTGTTCTCGTGAGGTTCGAGCGATGCCCCTTTTTTTCACCTGCACCTACTGTAAAGAAAAAAAAAGATTAAGCATTGCTGTGTATACACTCGGGTACACGCCGGATGGGGGCGTCTTCGCGGACCTATCGATTCCCGATGTACCATTGCGCCAGACTGGCTGTTGTGTTGTTCTGCGATGGGTAATTCTGAGGGCACTGGGCACTTTCCTTTTGATTCTATAGAGCAATTTCTTTTTTTAACTTTTCTTCTTCCATATTTCCATAGAATTTTGTCTTTTGATCTCATCTTGGCAAAAGATATGACTTCATCATTAAAAAATATGTGATTAAATATGTGAACATGCCAAGGTTAATTCAACCCTTGCAATCGCAAGCTCATCAGGTTAAAAGTTTTTTAAGGCTTTAATTAAGTATAGAGACGACCAAGTCAATAATCTCTCCACTACTCCAAAGTCTCGTGGGAAGTTTACTGGCAATCGTTAAAATTTAAATCGCTTTTTATTTGACTGTCGATCTTGCGTGTCATTCTCCCCCTAAATCGATCAGGGTGTCGCGCATCATGTAGATCAACCATCATTGATGGATTTTTCATCAAATTACTGCTCACTATATTCTAGTTATTATGAACAAACCCTATGATTTCTTTTTAACTTCTTTGCGATACCACATTACCTTCCATCTTCTCCTTAATGTACATCCAATTAAGAGGTCATTAGGAAAACTCCTGATTCATGCAAGGGTAAAAAATGTCACTGCAAAACTCGACTGGCTGGAAATGGACCTTTTTTTTCGTCTCTGTTAATTAAACCACTTTCATTGAGAATCAAGGGTCAGGTAGTTGTCTTATCGCGCGCCTCAGACGGCGACCTCGTCTTGGATGGCTAGTCGAATTTTAATTTTACGCTCAACGAGAGCATCGATGGTCCCCCATAACGACTCCATATTTCAGCAGAAGAGACACAGTAAGAGATATATTTCCCACCCCACGCCAGTGGAGCCACGCGACTTTGGGAATTGTCTCCGGGAAATCCGCGGAAAAGGAGGCGATTAAGTAGATCACCTTCGCCCCGTTTCAGGGACGTGGCTTTTCTCCTTCTCTTTCTACTACTGTACCCTAGAGATAAAGAAGCGAATTAAGAGGACGAGGTGAGGATGGCCAACCTGTCGAAGAGCTAAGGTACGATATTTTCTCGTCCACAGCCGTGAGCCGATGCATAATTCACTGGAACAAAAAATGGGAATCAGGAAGTAGCAGCTCGCGCTATCTCGGACAGATCAGAGATTAATAGGAGTCGATCGGTCGCTTTGCTAATCGAAGTCTCTAACGCGCGAGAAAAAGTTCTCGAGTAGATTCTCGGCTGTGGAGAAAAAAAAACAAACTGGCGATTTTTATTCCAACGCGGACATCAATGCTTTATCTGATAGAAATTATGGCTCTGCTCATTGGTTCTTTAGGAGTGTGATTTCGGGCAAGTGGCTGTCCTTATGAGACCAAGTGGTGGTAGGATTAGGATTGAGAGAAGTTTAGGGCTTCAAGTAAGTAGGCTCAGAAGGAGGAATAAGAGCGTTAAAAGTTAAGTTTGTAAGAAAAATCGGTGGTGACGAACGAATTTATATTTCGGTACTCGAGACGTGTTGGCACACAAAATGTGTTTGACACTTCTTTGAAATAAATTCATTAATATTTATATATAATTGTAATATAATTTAACATTTGATTTTAACGTCAAAAGACCGAAATCGACACTTGACTTAATTAAATGAAAGTTGAAAGTAATACACTAATTCTCTGAAGTTCAAAATGTCATTCCTCAGCAGGAATCAAATAATTACCATGAATAAGTTATGGCATCACGTCGGGACGCGTTTGCAGCTAGTAAATATTGAATGAAACGGAGGTAGTCCAGCGATCGCTAGGGAAAAGTACAAAAAGCTTAAAAGCTCTTTTATATTCAAGGCTGGTCGATAAATGCAGCCAAGGCAAAATTAGCAACGATATTTTACGCCCAAATGTGCGCCAGGACTGATGTCCGCACTTTTATACACGTTCATAAATCATATCGACCTCCTCGAAATTCCAAGTTAAGCTGTTTTGTACTGCTGTTGTTTTATTATCGAATTTTCGATAAAAGCTCGAGCAACGTGGAAGTATAAGACAAGGACCAGCAGTGAGACTGAGCCTGATCTGCTGCAAAGTTTTATACTCTTCGGTCGGATGGTTAGCTAACTAACGGGTTTATCCTTACAATTTAATAAAATGTTTACATGTATTCATGATCAAGTTTTTATTTTATACGTCAATTTTATTTCTATTAAAAGTGTTGGGTGCTCTATATTTTTTTTTTTTTTTTTTTTATCCTTCCGTAAACTAAAATTATTTCGTATTTTTCGGTACTATACCTTAAATTTATATCGTTAGCTGCTTTATTAATAAATAAAACAGTACAATCAGAACTAAAGTTTCATTGATAAATGAAATTACAAAAGTAGAAACTTAATCTCGAATTTTTTTAATTCGATTTGGAAATTAATCTGTAGTAAAAAGCATATCTGGCAATGATACATCTTTGCAGTATATAGTGACCGTAGCTTCGTTCCATTTTTCCCTATCCTTTTTATATATCTACAATCTAGTTTGGATTTTTTTTTAATTCCAATATCGCAGCTACTAACAGTTAATATCAATTACCTGAGCGACAACGCAAGAATATGAAGGTACAAGCGATTCTGCGTTATTCTTCCTTTGAAAGTCAATGTGAACGCTGTCCATTAATAAAAATCAGCATAACCTTTAAAAGCTCTCTCTTGTTTTAATTTTTAGCGAGATTGATCTGTAACAAATGTATAATAGTAAATTCCAATTTTTTTGCTGCAATTTGATAACATCGGGGCACCATTTTAGTAATCATTCATTGCGTTAAATGTAAAATGTTGAAAGAATAAAACCAATTATTAAAGTTAGGTAATATGTAAAACCTGGAATAACAGACAGAGTTCCGCTCACATGTTTATCGAGCTTCTCTCACACTCCAGTTAAGTTTTTACATAGTGATGAGAAAGGGTGTAGGTGTATTGTACCTACAGTCATGCGCTGCATAACAGGCGCATCGCAAAACTCCAATGCCACACGAGCCAAGAGTGACATTGCCAATTTTTTTGAAGCCTTTAGTAGTGATAGTCGATGAGATTAATAAATTTTTCTGAATAACTGAATTGATGTGTAAAATTTATGGTAGCCCAATTACAGCACGTAGTAAAACTTATTCCTACTTTAGGCGTTTACTGCGCCCTTCGTAAGAAAAATAGTTACGAAAACTACTATTCTGCTGGTAACAGTACATAGGTACTTTTAAAAATATCAATAGGAATAACGTTACTATGAGAAATCAGAGGTTTTCGTCACATAAGTGCCATCCACCATCGGGACCATTTTGCTACCCGAAGGACAGTGTATACAACTTTTCCTACCAAGTGCACAATAAGCGTCCAAATGGTAAGAAAACTGCCTTTGGGTAAAAAATAGTAGTTTTTGCACCTGATGGCGCATATAGCACACATCAGGCAATAGTTATTTACGTAACAAGTGCGGAAAAGACGATTTCCCGCACGAGTAGTGATTGACTCACACGAGTGCCGGAGTTGACGGGAACGAGTACCAGTTGAGCACACGAGTGCGTAGCACGAGTGTGATCGCAAAGTACGAGTTACCGACACCGGCCACGAGTGCGAGTCTATCACACGAGTGCGGGAAATCGTCCCGCACGAGTTGCGTACAAGTTTTTTCGCAATGTGTGAGGAAAATAGGTACAAAATAGGTTTGAATTTTGATTTCCAATGTGTAGAAAAATTTTTTCCGTTGTGTGGCAAAACCTTTGCTGCACACTTTTTCCACACACTGTGTGACAAAAACCTTTGCCGCACACTTTTTCCACACACTGTGTGACAAAAACTTTTGCCACACACCTTTTCCGCACACTGTGCGGAAAAACTTTTGCCGCACACCTTTGTCGCACACTATGTGGGAAAATCGATTTTCCACACTAATACCAGTGAGGAAAACATCCATTTTTCGCACACTATTGCGGAATAGTAGTTTTCCTACGAGTTTGAAAAGTCTCTGTTTGCGGCCCGAGCCGAAGGCGAGGGACGTAACGAGGTTCGTAAAGGAGACTTTTCGAACGAGTTCCGGAAAACTGCTTTTTCGCCCGAGGAAGTACCAGCCTCCAAAAACCACCCGTGGGCGGAAAAAACTTTTGTTTCTTCCGAGGTCGCAATAAATGTCCAAAGTCCAAATTTCGCAATAAAATTTAGTTTTAAAGCAGTTTATTATTTATACACACTATCGTAGTATCTCAAAAAAATGTCCAAGTGACTTGCAATTTTTTTGCTAAAATTCTTCTTTTCTTCGTCTATACATTATCGAGCGTACCCTTCTCCCACTCTCTCATTTACAAATGCGCATACAACCATACGTAAAGGAACGTTTGATCTCTCACGTGTCAAGACATAAAAAATATGTTGACGTGAGTAAGTTACGTGCAAGTGATTACCCACTTCTTCTTTCGAACCCCTTCTTTCCTCTTGTATCATCTACACTATTATCTCTTGCATGATCTTGCAATTATAGCTTAGAACTACAAAGTTAATAATAAACTCTACATGATGCAGCGTTTTTTCAGATTTTTTTTTTATCATGTATCACTCTACTGTGATAGAATTAAGAGCCATTTTTACACGCTAGAATGACCTGTCATAGTCGCATTTCAAGTTAAACGTAGTATTTTGCTAAGTACTGCAACGCGACGGTTTTCTTTCTTGGTGCCCTGAAATTTTTACGTTCTTACTTCAACTTCTTTAATATTAGTCGGCCTTTGGATCCGTTGCAAGCGAGTGGACGAATCGTTTTTCGTCACTGTTAACCTGCCATGGTTATCAACAACTGAAATTTATTTGTCAACAATCTACTAAACCGGCAATGGTCATGGTCTTCATATGCCCATCATTTTATGTCCCAAGTTAATTTGTTGAAAATAAATCAACATTTGATTAAACTAAAGTTGGCAATTGTTTTACTGCTTTGCAGAAACAGTCATTCATAATGGCCATGATACCAAGTGAGCTGATAAATGGCGTTTTAGTGTGTGCTTGCTTATTTCTGGTGGGATTTTATGTGTATGTGACAAGATATTTCAAGTATTGGAAGAAACAGGGTGTCAAACATTCCAAACCATCGTTTCCTTTCGGAAATTTCGGAAAGTGTATATTTTTACAACAATCTATTCATGAATTTATCGATGACATGTATCGCGACGGCAAAGGAGAAAAAATGGTCGGATTTTACGTTCTCGACCGCCCATACGTTCTATTACGCGATCCAGAGTTGCTTAGGAGTGTGTTTATAAGGGACTTTAATATATTCTCGAACAAGGTATTGTGTAACAACAAAAGTGACCCATTTGGCACACACATGCTCTTTTTGGAGACGAACCCTCCGTGGAAGCATATTCGGCAAAAGCTCTCACCTATGTTTACCTCAGGTAAACTCAAGAAGAATTTTGACCTTATGATGGAGATTTACAAGGATCTAGATTTCCATCTAAACAGCTTAGGAGTAAACGGTATGTACATTTAATAAAATAAGCACATGAGGAAGCATATTAACACGTAATTGACACATTAATTCATGATAATGGATTTTTAGATGAAAATGTGAGGCCGATAGAGGTCAGAGAACTGTCTGCAAAGCTAATGACTGACGTGATAGGCATTACAGCTTACAACATACGATTTGATTCATTGAGAGACCCTGACGCTCCTTTTCGAAAAATTGGAAAATCACTATTCCGAAGTCAATTGATTCGTTATCTGCAATGTTCATCGATTTTTTTCATTCCAGCTTTCCGTGCAATATCAAATGCTAAATTTTTTGATGCAGAAACAGAATTTTTCGAAAACATGTTCTCACGCATAGTAGACGAGAGAATTATGTCTGGGAATAAAAAAAATGATTTTGTCGATTTGGTCATCAACATGATAGGAAGCGAGGAGATTGGAAATACCGATGAGATAAGTAAGCTATTAAAGTTGTTTTTCATCGATAATACAAACATGTTTACAATATATAATATTTGATAATACTTGTTTTTGTTAGACTCTCTAAAAATTTGAGAATTTAGCTCGAAAAACTCAATGTTAAACATGTTTATTATTAACATGTTAATAGTTTTTTTTTTCAGAAGTAGGACACCGTTCATGGATGTCCCAGTTGGCAGGAATTTTCTCAGCTGGTTTTGAAACATCTTCGACGACTACAACTTTTTCTTTGTATCAAATAGCCGTAAATCCAGAAGTTCAAAAAAGATTGAGAGATGAACTTGCAAATTCTGTAGAAAAGACAAATGGAAAGTTGACGTACGATGTGGTAAATATTTTATTATTATAAATGTATCATTTCAATCAACTGTTTAGTATTTGACATTCACGTAAAATAAAACAAAGTTTATAATCAAGGTGTATTTTTTATGAATCTTTAATTATTTGTAAAATTTTTAAAATGTGTAAGTAATCCTCAATTTTTTAACATTTACTGAAGGTAGGGGACATCTCAAAAATACTTAGATAGTGAAAATTCAAATAATTGTTTTCGAGCTTTACGTATAAACTTTAGAATTAAACATTATGCATAATCATTAGAAGGTCCAGTTGAACAAGAGGGATCTAGCACTTTTACTACAAAAATTAGAAAAAAAAAAAGTGATTTCTGTTCTTGTCTCCAAAAATGATAATCTAACATTTGAAGCTCCCCCTATAACGTATTGTTACTGTAATTGATATGTTGTAAATGTGTTCGCCTTGAGCTGTTTCAATTTACGCTAATCTCATTAATGAATTCAAATATTTTTCTGTGGTCTCTAGTCGCCAATAAAATTTATTGTTGAAATATTCCTAACAGTCTATACTTTTATCAGACCTCGGATTTTGTGTTACTATTACCCGAAGATAAAGACATTTTTTCCGTAACTGAACCTCTACTTAGAATAAGATTATTGAATTCAGTTAATTGGACTTTATGACTTAAATAAAAAAGTTTAATCGTTGAGGTTTTTTGATTTTTCACTGTACTATAAATTCTTGCTTTCATCAGTTTATAAGTGTTAGACAAAAAAAAGTAACTTTGAACGTTTCTTTAGGTGACCGATGCACCCTACCTCAATATGATTGTGCGAGAAGCTTTGAGGATGTTTCCTATTCTTACATGGCTCGATCGAGTGCCAGATGTTGACTACACATTTCCTGGAACAAACGTCACTATAAAAAAAGGAACTCCTGTTATTTTTCCTCTTCGTTCGATGCAAATGGATCCTAAATATTACAAGGATCCAGAGAAATTTGACCCCGAAAGATTTTCAGATGAAAACAAGAGTGAAGTCATTCCCTTCACATATGCTCCATTTGGTGAAGGACCAAGAAATTGCATAGGTTTGTTTTGCCTTTTAAATAAATAGTAAAAAAAATTGTTGACTAATGTTTCATTGATGTTTTTTCTACAGGTGGTAGACTAGGACTGTTACAAGTTAAGCTTGCGACAGCTTATTTAGTGATGAACTACGAAATAACACCTTGTGAAAAAACACCAATTCCTTTGAAATGTGATAGGATCAATGCTCTGAACCATCCTGCTGGAGATATTTGCTTGAATTTTAGAAAAGTTCTGACGTCTATGTAACATATAATTAGTAGTTGAAAATGTTATAATTTATTTCTGTAAATAATGAGCATATCTTATGAATCATTAATTATTATTATTAATGGAATTTTCTCATTAAATTTATATTTATTTTGATATAAAAAGCCTATTGTATCACAATTGTATTGTAATGTAAGTTATGTATTCTTCTGAGAATTTAATTATTCAGTAGAAAATCTAAATATTTATACTTTACTTTTTATTTACCACTTTTTTTTTAGTAAACAAATGGTAATGATGTGCATTCGTACTTAGGAATCAATAGATAGATTTTTTTTTGTTCATAGGTTTGTTACGTAAATTTTAACATTACGTGTATGATTTTAATTGTATTTTACAAGAAATTTTCAATATTGGAGAAAGAAAGGTGTTGGATTTTTAAAACTATCAATTCTCATCGAAAATTTTAGAGAATGTATTTGTTTGAAACTGATTCATAAATTTATCATTACACATATGATAAAGTGGAAAAAGTGGCTGGTTTTTACATCCTTGATCGACAATACGTTTTGTTACGTGACCTAGACTTGCTCAGAAGTGTGTTAGTAAGAGACTTGAATACATTTTTGAACAATTTATTACGTAAAATCAATGGTGACATTTTACTGCATATATGATCTATTTAGAGTCGAACCCACCATGGAAGCACATTCGGCAAAGCCTATCTCCTACCGCTTAAACGCTCAAGAAAAATTTTGATTCTATGATTGAGATTCACATGAATTTATCTTAATAGGTGGGAAATAAATCGTGAATAAATTCAATGAACTCAGCAGCCAATGAAGCTTAAAGTAAACATCATAAATTAAATAATAATACTGAATTTTTATATAAAATCAATTTTTGAAAATTTTTTCCATACGACGTTAGAGAGGCAGAAATATCACTATTGTGTCTTTTTTCTTTTGCAAGTCTTTTTAGCAAGAAAATGGGACTAGTACAATTCATAGCATACAACATTGGCATGGCCATGGCAAAACTAGCACTGCTGCGCTATATATGTAAATATTTTTTTAAGTAATGTTTATTTATTTATGCCTAGTACAATAAACACGAGTATGAAAAAGGCATTGTACAAAAAAAATTATTTAATAATCACATTAGAGATTTTAGTCACAGTTCAATTTTTAAAATCATTTATTATTTTTGGGACTTTATCTTCACGCAAGATATACCATTTCGACCTTTTGACTGCAAAGTTTATAAATTGAGTTAATGCAACAGTAACTTATTCTGTCTACGCCAAAAGCATAGGCAGATTACTCGATAAAGTTTCTCTTACGTAATGTGTTTCTATCGAAAATATGTTTTGACTTCAATATTATCTTTTGGTGCAAGATTATTATCATTTTTACCTTGAATAATAAACGTGTTTCTTGGAATATCTGAAGATGTATATTTTATATTAAGAATAAAAAATAATTTTTCTGTTAATTATGTTGTAAAAAAAGTTAACTTGATACGTTTTTTTTATAAATATATTCAAGAAAGAGTTAGACAACAAAATTCAATAATAATTCGTTATGATTTATATTTTTATACTAAACAATATTATGATTATGATAATTACTCTTACAATTAAAAGTACTTATTAAATACTACCAAAATATTCATATGTGTGTATCATGCCGTATTACGATATTGCGCTGTTGGTACGAATAAAATCAATTAAATTGATAAGCAGTATGTGAAAAAGCCTCTGCATATCTTTATTTATGCGCAGACAGTATATTTTGTGTAGTTGCAAGAGAACGTAGTGTCTCAGTAATCATAATTGTAATTTTTTTATAATCAAGTTGAAATCCTGCATTGATTAAAAAACTGTACTGTCAAAATATTGTTTAAAGATTTTATTTTTGTAGTAAGTCACTAGTAATGATAGTTTCAATCAGGGAGTTGCTAATCGTATTTTTTTCATGTATTTGTATAGTTTTCGTAGTATTTTATTTGTACGTAACAAGAAATTATAACTATTGGAAAAAGTTGGGTGTCAAACACTTGCGGCCATCGTTTCCTTTCGGAAATTTCGGAAAGTGTATGTTCTTACAACAATCTATTCATGAATTTATCAATGACATATATCAGGATGGAAAAGGAGAAAAAATGGTCGGATTTTACGTCCTTAATCGACCATATGTCCTATTACGTGATCCAGAGTTGCTCAGGAGCGTATTTATAAAGGACTTTGATATATTTTCAAATAAATTAATAAGTAACAACAAAAGCGATCCTTTCGGCACACACATGATTTTATTGGAAACCAATCCACCATCAAGGTATATTCGACAAAAGCTTTCACCCATGTTTACCACAGGTAGACTCAAGAAGAACTTTGGTGCAATGCTAGAGATTTATGAGGATTTAGATGTTTATCTAGACAAGTTGGGCTTACGGGGTAAATACATGAAATAAATGACAGTCAACTATAGTGAACAATACATTAATAAAGAATTTAAATGTTGCTCGAGTTTTTTAGATGAAATTTCTAAGCCCGTGAACATCAAAGATCTAAGTACAATGCTAATGACTGACGTTATAGGAATTACAGCTTATAACGTGCGATTTGACTCTTTAAGAAACTCTGAAGCTCCATTTCGAAAAATAGGAAAATCACTATTCCGAAGTCAATTGATTCGTTATCTGCAATGTTCATCGATTTTTTTCATTCCAGCTTTCCGTGCAATATCAAATGCTAAATTTTTTGATGCAGAAACAGAATTTTTCGAAAACATGTTCTCACGCATAGTAGACGAGAGAATTATGTCTGGGAATAAAAAAAATGATTTTGTCGATTTGGTCATCAACATGATAGGAAGCGAGGAGATTGGAAATACCGATGAGATAAGTAAGCTATTAAAGTTGTTTTTCATCGATAATACAAACATGTTTACAATATATAATATTTGATAATACTTGTTTTTGTTAGACTCTCTAAAAATTTGAGAATTTAGCTCGAAAAACTCAATGTTAAACATGTTTATTATTAACATGTTAATAGTTTTTTTTTTCAGAAGTAGGACACCGTTCATGGATGTCCCAGTTGGCAGGAATTTTCTCAGCTGGTTTTGAAACATCTTCGACGACTACAACTTTTTCTTTGTATCAAATAGCCGTAAATCCAGAAGTTCAAAAAAGGTTGAGAGATGAACTTACAAGCGCTATGGAGAAGTCAAATGGACAATTAACTTACGACATGGTTCATATATAATATGTTTTTAATCATGTATTTTTAATGACAAGATATATTAAAACAAAAAATATTCAAATTTCAAGATCACCAATGCACCTTACCTCAACATGATTGTGCTAGAAGTTTTAAGAATGTATCCGATTCTTACATGGGTAGATCGTCTGCCAGACATCGATTACACGTTTCCTGGAACAAACGTTACAATAAAAAAAGGGACTCCAGTAATATTTCCTATTCACTCGATGCAAATGGATCCAAAGTACCATTTAAATCCTGAAAAATTTGATCCGGAAAGATTTTCGATAGAAAACGAAAGTAAAATTATTTCCTTTACGTACTCGCCCTTTGGTAAAGGACCAAGAAACTGTATAGGTAATTATTCGCCCCTCACTCATCAATATTCCACAAAGTTTTGTTTCATGTTTGTAAAATTAGTTATTCATTGGCAGGTAGCAGATTGGGACTGTTACAGATTAAACTTGCATTAGCTTACTTAGTGTTAAACTACGAAATAACACCTTGCAAAAAAACGCCGATTCCTTTGCAACATGACAAACAAAATATGTTTATGCACCCTCGTGGTGATATTTACTTGAATTTTACAAAAATATCACAAGGATAAAAAAGTGCCTCTAGCATAAAGTATTTTTATGATTTATATTGGCATGTAAAAAATTGATGTGAAATGTGATTTATTTTTAACTTTCGTAAAGAACACTAGATTTGATATTTATTTAGATAGGCACATTACGTTTGCTATTAATTGAGTGAAACTTTTTGATAGTAGAGCTCAAGTATACATTTATTTTCAAACAAAACATGTACATGTGTACTTACAAATTTAATTAAAAACATAAAATTTATCGCTCACTATTGAAGAGATAATTTTTATTTTGTCATGTTTTTTGAGTCATGCTATCAAGTAAAAATAAGTTCAATGATACTTTGATTTAGATACTTTCGATTTATCACTATATTTTGTTAAAGCCGGTCATATATGATCTTTATAATGTTTTATATTTTCAAACATGGAAAAATTAAATATTTGAAAATCTCACTTTTAAGTTACCATGAGATCAGCTCGAACAAATTATACGGCAAGTGAAAAGTCTTCAATCGCAAGATAATTATCCTTTTAATAAAAGATAATGCAGATAAAAACTTATGTATCAATAGACAGATATGGAAAAATTTCTCTGGCTCCTCCTGCATATTTTAACTTCAAAATTTACAAATTTCTCTACTACAGAAGTAATGACCTCTGTGTAAGCCATAAACAAAAATAACCCATGGTTTTACTGTGACATTTTTTTTAGCCACAACGCTAACTATTGATTGTAGAACAATTATGTAGTAGGTGATCAAATACTAAATGTGACTCTCGCAATATCTTGGTCTTCATTTTCAAAAACATAATTAGGTACATGACAAACTATGACCTATCAAAACTTTGATTTTTATTATACTGTGATGTTTTTAGTTGAAAAAAAAAAACAGCAATGGCCATTTACAATTTTTGATCGCTTACCATAATATGAATTACTTTACAGATCGTGCGCAGTAGGGATAATATGAGAAAAGACCCTTGATAACCTATGACAATTGTACAGCAAAATAGCACAATGAACGATTAAATGATTAAAAAGTTACAAATGCAAGAAGATCATTAGTAGAAAATACGACTGTGTAAATGCTTGATAAATACTCCTGCCGTAGTAACTGCGTATTGTAAAATAAATAAAAATGACGATAATGTGCTGTTTGCATAAACGAAATGAGTCAAATTGATAAAGTATCTTTTAAGAAGCGTCTATATATTTTTACTTGCAGATAGATAGTATATTTTGTTCCGTTCTGAGGAAAGGTTCTCTAACGTCTTGAATCGAAACTAAATACATCAATAAAAATAAATATTTCATTAGTTAAAAACATTGACTTTTACAACATATTTATTTTTCTATGTTTAGAATTCACTTTTCTTAAAAAAAAAAGGTATAATGGCTATAATAGGAAGTGATTTAATTACAGTGTTTTTAACGTGTATTTGCGCATTAGCAGTGGGTTTTTACGTGTACGTAACAAGAAATTTTAAGTATTGGAAAAATTTGGGTGTCAAACACTTGGAGCCTTCATTTCCTTTCGGAAATTTTGGAAAATGTACATTTTTGAGACAATCAATTCATGAATTTCTCGATCAAATTTATTATGAAGGTAAAGAAGAAAAGATGGTCGGCTTTTACGTTCTCGACCGTCCATATATTATGTTACGTGACCCAGAGTTGCTAAGAAGTGTATTTATTAAAGATTTTAATCTTTTTACAAATAAATTAATGAGTAACAACAAAAGTGATCCTTTTGGCACGCACGCACTTTTTTTGATGGAAAGTCCACCGTGGAAGAAGATCCGACAAAATATGTCACCCATGTTCACCTCGGGCAAGCTAAAAAAAAATTTTGATCTCATGCTGTCCATTTGTAAAGACCTTGATACTTATCTCAATAGCGTAGGAGTGAACGGTAGTTAAAATTATTATGGATAGGATAAAGTTAAGTATACAAATCATTATTTTCAATAATATTTCATGATACCAATTAATTTTTAGATCAAATTGCAAAGCCCATCGAAATTCAAGAGGTTTTGTTAAAATTGATGACTGATATTATTGGAATTACAGCTTATAACATAAAATTCAACTCTTTGACGAATTCTGAATCTCCATTCCAAAAATTTGGAAAATTACAATTTGAAAGTCGACCATTTCGTTATATTCAATTGCTGTCTATATTCTTCGTACCAGCATGGCGTATATTTACAAAGGCACAATTTTTTTATGTTGGGACTAAGTTTTTTGAAGACACGTTTTTACACATAGTGGACGAACGAATTCAATCAGGAGATAAAAAAAACGATTTTGTCGACTGGGTCATCGATATGCTGAAAAACGAAGAGGTCGATGATAAAAGCGATATTAGTACGTACTTTGAGTGTTTTTTATAATTCAGCTTTTTAAAAATATTATAACAAGATTTATGAATAAGAAAAATTAAAAGTGATTGAAAACAGCTTTTTATAAATAGTTTAAAAAGAAAACATTTTCAACAAAATTACGGAACATTGTTATGATGATTCTATTTAGAAGTAAAACGTCGCTCATGGATGGTTCAACTAAGTCAAGTTTTCACTGGTGGATTCGAAACTTCTTCAACGACAACATCTTTTGCTTTGTACTTGGTGGCTATGCATTCCGAGGTTCAACAACGATTAAGGGATGAACTTACGCATGCAGTTGAGAAAAATGGAAAATTGACCTATGATGTGGTATTTGTTAAAAAAGAAAACATAAATTTTTTTTTATAACGGACAAAAAAATCTTCTTTTTTTTTTTTTTAATCTTAAGGTAACCAATGCACCTTACCTCAATATGGTTGTACGAGAAGTCTTAAGAATGTATCCTCTGATTACGTGGGTCGATCGATTGCCAGACGTTGATTACACGTTTCCTGGAACGAATGTAACAATCAAAAAAGGAACTCCAGTTATATATCCGATCCGCTCCATGCATATGGATCCAAAATATTTTCCAGAACCTGAGAAATTCGATCCTGAAAGATTTTCGGACGAAAACAAAGGTCAAATAGTTCCATTCTCATACGCACCGTTTAGCGAGGGACCCCGAAATTGCATAGGTAAGATTTTCTCAACTTACTTCAATATTAATATACATCTGCTTTCGGGCACGACTACTTTGAAATTGTATCATGTATTTTCACCAAAGCAAAAAGCGTAACAGTTCATGAATTGTCTATTGAGGTTGTAAATAAGATTTTGAGCCGCAAATGAGTATGAAAAAAGAGTATTGTATCTAATGTCTGTAATTAATTATTGTGTAAGGTTTCTAGATTAACTCAAATTACTGAAATAATTTTTTTCCAAACAAGCCAAGGTAACTTTGACAAATAGTGTTCTAAGCTTCGACATTCGAGGTCAAAGTATTAAAGATAAAACTTTGAGGTTTCAAAAGAATATAATTTATATAGAATATTATGTATACTACCCTTGAAATTTTTGCTTTGGTGATAAAGTGTTTGACTCATTTAGTATGCAAAAATACACATTTTCACATTTTCTTTAATTTTATAGGTGGCAGATTAGGACTGTTACAAGTAAAACTTGCCGTAGCTTATTTTGTGGTAAATTATCAACTATCACCTTGTGGAAAAACACCTATTCCGTTGAAAAATAGTAGTGTAAATGCTTTCATGCATCCACACGGCGATGTTTACTTGGATTTATTAAAAATTGCGTGATCCAAAAAAATTATTATTTTCAACAAAATGTAAAACATGTGAAAACTACGAGTCTCAAAATATAAAAATTGTGATTTTTTTTATAATAAAATGGTTTCAACAATTATGATACAATATATGTACTATATAACATACTAATTTACTTCCAACAAAAAGTCGAAGTTAAACATTATCCGATTACATACGATTATAAAATAAGAAAATTTTCCAAACAAATTTGCAGCTTTTCTTTTTCCTAGCAGTACATCAATAAATAAATGAAACACATAGGTACTAAAATTTATGCGGTACGGATTAGGCCACCTAGTAAATTTGCACTTTTGCTTGTGCTCGAGTGTATTGCACAGTTTTCCCCACCACGTGTGTGTGTGTGTGTGTGTGTGTGTGTGTGTGTGTGTGTATGTACGTGACTCTCTTTGAGGTGAGAGAAATTTGTATAGGGATTCAAGCGCATGATCCAAACGATAACGAAGAATTTAGAGGCACTCGGGAGATCGTAAAATATTTAGACGCATGAGTGCACCCACACCTCAAGTACAATGGGCAACTAAAAGCGACCTTCTTTCCTTCCTACCTTAATCCACATTGTACCAATGAAAAGTGCACTCCTCTTATTTCTTGACACTTTTTTCCATTGTTCTGTTTTTAGTTTTGCTTTTTTATTCATTTCATGTATGTATTACTTTTTTTATGAATTTTGACGATTCTTTATTTCAACAACTCATTTTGCTAATTCATGTCCCAGTACAGAGTGTGTCTCTCATTATATTTAATTTTTTTAAGAGGGCATTATCAGCTGGAAATAAAAAGGTGACAGCTTAGTAAAGTGCTAAGAAATGTAAGGATTTTACGACAGGATTAAAATCGTAAAGATGCAACCCATGTTGCGTGAAAAAACTTGCACATTGCATTGGTACTTTAATATACACATTTTTTTTGTACATTTTTATTCTCGTACAAGTTTGTGTGACTTGAAATATTTTTTTTTTTTTATTTAGTGGAACGAAAAATAAACGTACTTTAGAATACATATGTAATGATAAATACTACTGACCCCTAAGCCTGTATGCAGATAACATTTTATTAATTTCATAATAAAATCTCGTCAGTTTCATCACAACTGCTGTGTTTTTAGAACCAGTTACTCCAAATATTAAATTTTTTTCCTTTCAGCCGACAAAGTGACGTAAGATGCTCAATGAGAGATTTTTCTTATGCAATTTTTAAAATGAATTACGCACTGATACTCGATTAAAATTGAGCCCAGACGCCATAATCGGTGCTGTCGTAACAGTTCACGCGATAACAGTTGGTAGCTCTCAATGATTGTCAGTATTGCACACTTGGGTGCTTATCAGAAGTGATGCGTGAAATTATCGGTAAAGAACGCAAAAAGAGAAAGCAACTTGATCTCCAGCCATCAGAAGCAGCGATTCCGTAGATGATCGAAAAACACACCTCTTGCTCGCTTTTATTCTCCAACGCTATTCCGCATGTCAGACCAGTCAGACTGATGGGTGGAGTGTATTGGCACGGCGATGGTTGGACTAAGGGGGGTAGGGTGGCTGACGCGTGAAAATAAAACCGAGGCGTTTTAGGTAAAATCCCCGACAATGACAAGTGCGGGAAAAGCCCGAGAGAAAACTTTAAATCGAATTTCACTCCTCCCCGCCGCTCTCTCTCTCTCTCTCTTTCTCTCTCTCCAGTGACTACATTCGGTAACATCGATCTTATTTTTGCGTCAAGATCTTCCACCTACGGAGTTTCTTTTTTATTTTTGTTTTTTTTTTTTTTTTTTTTTTCTTTCAAATAGTTGTGCGAAAAAGTTTATCTCGGCAGTTATGATGTCGGCCGCCGAGTTTATATATTGCCGCAGGAAAGGAAACTGTGCAGGTGTTTGGTTATTTTTTCCTCGCACTACTTCTCTCTTCCTCCATCTCACTGTTATTACAACTTCTGTAAATTTGTTGGAGGGACAATGTGTGAGATAATCATGAAAAATATATCAATTTTCTGATGGTTGAGGTACAGAATTTCGTGAAATCAAGATCATGCTTATGAATTCGTTTTTAAAATAACTCAATATTTTAAAAATAAATCTGCATAAGTGTGTTTAGTTATTAATATACCAAGATCCATGCAATGTGATGCATCTATGTATACTTCGCGTGTATATGATCTTCACGTGCACCTAAGCCGCATCTTCTCTGAATATGAGTGTGATGGGTTCAGTCATGAAATGAATGTAGCTACAGAAATAAGATCGACGAAGCTCGTTTCTCAATTTAAAAATCTCAAAGGCAAAACAGTTCCCCCTGGCTCAAACAATTGTTGTAAAAAATTATTTTAAAAAATACTGCAGGTGAAAAAAGAGCAGGCATAGCAACGCAAAAATGCAATGATTTCCCTCATGCAAATTTTGAGTTTGAGATAGCCAGTACTAGTTAAATATTATGGGCCTTATGTGAGTATTTATTGGTATAAAAATTTTTATGAAACATATAATATCAAAATATGAGTTTTTAATAGATTCTTTTTTCTAACAACTTTAAAGTGTAAATAAACACAGTCAATATTTTTTCGGAACTATCAAAGTAAAAAAAAAAAAAAAAACAAATTAAAACTGATTTAATCAAGTTATTAAATAAAATGTTAGTGAATAAAATTTTCTTCTTGAAGTGTACTGCTCTAAACTATGTAGAAGTCTTAGTTTTATCCAAAGAATCTAAAATAGCTGAGCGTCTTGAAAAAATTGAGGATGATTTGCAATTTTTTAATCATGCGACTAGAACGCTAATATCCAATTACTTGAATAGCCGTTCATTTTAAGGTAATTATCAGGCAATATTACGTATACACAGAAGTACGCAGTTCACCGACAATAAAAAGCAGATCATTGGCATGTATTTCTTAGACGAGATAATGAATAAGCTCCAGTATTACATTTACTCAATCACGTTGTTATCTAATCATGTTTAAAAAATGAGAAAAAAACTGAAAAAATTTCCAATTGCATCGTCAAGATAAAATATTTAGAAGAAATTTTAATTACAGTATGAATAAGTACATCAATTTCACAGTACGTGATGTCTAACGTGACAATATCAGTAATGTAGTATTTTTTTTTTTATAAAAAAACAAAAATTAAATTAGTTTTGCTGCAATGATAATAAGCAACCAGCACAAAAATAAATGATAAATTATTATTTAATTCAGCAAAAGAGTATAAAATAAATTATTGCACTAAAGGCTCTGGAAGGAAATAACAAAAACAATACAAAAAAAAACTTATTAATCTTTGGGAAAAAGCGCTTAGCGTCCGCATGAGTGGTGACTCGTCAGGTATGCAAAAAATGCGTTTGTTTCGAATTGCTGTAAGCTCCCGGATTAAAGTATCGATCGTAGACAATAAATTTAAACGTCCCCCTGTATTGATACTTTCAGGTGACAACCACTTCGTAGAGCTTTAAAATCTGGAAAAAAGTTTTATTCTCGATATTTGTTCGTGATAATCGGCTTTTATTTTGAGTTTTTTTGAAAGTTAACTTACGATAACTATTTCCACATTCTTTGCCTAAACTATAGATATGTATTAAATAACAAAACCTTATACAACTCTTATTTAACATAATGATAAAGTTTAATGTATAGAATCATTGTTGACTATTTCCAAGTTTTTTGCATCTTTTCCGTTGTCACCGAAGTAGCTTTATATCCTTAAATTTTTCAAGTTAAATGTATCTGAATATCTAAATTATTTATATGATTACTGAAACTTTGACCTTTACTACTGTAAAAAACCACGAGATTGGCCGATTTCAATTAAACATTTTTATCAAGTTATCCATTAATCAGACGAATGAGACCGTGATGTTAAGTATTAAAGTTGAAAGCTTAAATTTGATTATTGGCATTCGTACATAACATACATACAGCCATAGACGTTATTCACTTATGTTTTTTTTTTTATTTTAGTTGATTTATTGGCGTTGTATTGAATATACATATGACAAACTTATGATACAAACTTATATAAATATACATATGGCTTTATATNTTTGCAGATCTATATATATATATATATATATATAGATCTGCAAGCTCTCGCCATCTAACGGATACTCAGTGGATCAATATCAATGGGATGGTAAGTAACCAAGAGAATAACACGTTTTTTTTGTTGGGTACAATAGATTTTTCAATGGTCTACTGTTGCTAATTAAAAAATTATCATTGTAACATCTGATGATCATTTAATAAATTGTTTTGTGGTAACGTTTGTATGATTAGTTTTTGGATCTATATTGCACTTTAGTTTGATGGGAGCGATTAAAAAATTTTGTTTATAGTAAAAATGTTACAATTGTGAAAAATAAGTCATGATTTCTTTATTTTTAAATGAAAATCCTATTTACATTACAACAAAACCTATACATTTTTGTTTGTTTTTGCTTATTTCAGCTAGTTGGCTTTATTTTGTTGGAGTAATACAGGTTTCGCTTAAAAAACCATCACTTGATCCAGGACACAAGCTTTTACAACTGCGCATTGAAAAACGTAGCCCATTCGATTAATGAATTAACAAAAAAAAATATTAGCAGTTACGGTTACCAATTTAAAATACAACGATGCACATTTAAACTTAAAAAAAAATAATTCGTAGCTATTTAAAGTAAAATCAAATAAATATCACTCAACGCCTGATTCAAACCAGTATCGATCGGTACCACATCAAATATTGAATATTAACGAGCTCCACGATCACATCAATTACGCGTAACTGACCCACTTGAGAAAACCGGAATATCAGCGAATTTCCTTGTCCGATCTAAAATAACCAGTGGCACTCGAAGGAGGAGAGATAAAAAAACAACCTGTCCTCAATGCATATCGTAAATACAAAATGCACGCGTCGCCCTAATTGTTTACAGCACCGCTTGCTCCACTTCAGATGATTTGGGATGACGAGCGGTAAAGTCGTGCTCGCCGTTTACTTTGGCCACAATGAACTCTGGCAGCGACTTTTCGTTCAAATTTCTAATGCCCGGCAGCAACACCTGGTTGTACGGAATCTGCGATCGCTCGCCGAGGTTCTTGGACCCGTAAAGGCTGAGGTAGCCGGCTGGTATGATCAGCTTGCGTACCGGAATTCGTTTTTCGTCGAGGTTTTTCGCGCCCAGTGGAAAACTCACTGCATCAATTATCTCGGCGTCGTTCTCGACGTCGTCGAAAATCTCGTATGCCTGATGTAGTACCGGAGAGCACAGGATTGGGCAAATGCACAGGCAAACCAATGATATCTGAAGTGCAAAATGTTGGAATTAACAACACGTGGCCAAAGTCCTTAGGTCTCATTGCTAAACAGGAGTTCCTTATATTATATCACCGGAGCAGGAAGTGTGAACCTACGTAAATACCTATTTTATTTTTCATAAAACAGTTTTCGTACCTAATGTGGAGGTTGATGATGAGAATTCGACGTTGTGTATGTTTAATTATGTTTCATTTGTTCTAAAATGTGATGTAGACTTGTTGCGATGTAAGAAAAAGTATAAAAACGAGGAAAAACCCCTTTAACAGCATTTTTTTGAATCCTCTAACATTATTTAAAAGTTATCAAATTATCTGTCTTGCATGCTTAAATATACTGTCGTTTTTTTAATTTTAGCCAGATGTTTATAAATTGGTTCTTAGAGGGTGCATGCTAATCTGTGATACCCAGAAAAAATTTTGAAATATTTTTTATTATGATACACTGCTCTGATTTTTGCAAATGACAGTCACGTAAGCGTTGCGATAAGAAAAAAAAATTGAACTTTATCGAACATTGAAATGATACAAATCAACGTCCTCGTCAGTCTCTTCTCGATCCTTTACATTAATCACGTGAAAGAGAAAATTTTTAAAGGTAACCTTTAAAAAAAGTAAGAGTACACGATAAATAAAAAACAATGAAAAATAAATTGTATCATTTAAAACTGTAACTTTCTTATTCACTACTTACTACATTATTTTCTCAGACAAAATATATTATCAATCCAAATTGTTCAATATTATTCAATACGCCTATTGTTAAGTTTAAATAAAAAGTTTTTTTTTTTTAATTTAGCCTTAAAAATCTGACTCTCCTAATCCTTAAACACCTATCAAATAATAACTTTCCAAAAACAAAATCCTTGAAAATTAAAAAAAAAAAAAAAAAACATTTGAGGGACCAGACAACTTACGAGAACACACGTGCACAAGACGCAAGAGTAAAAAAAACACTCACCTTGACCGCCAGCATCATGTTAGCCGGGCGCGTCGTCGCGTGCAACTATCCCGCGACATCGTCGCGATGACACTGTTATATACGTCCGTGCGAGCTCTGCGCAGACCGTAGATTTTTTTTTCTTCTTCTTCTTCTTATTCCTTTTGTTTTTTTTTTTCCACTTCACTGGCCGAGCTAGCGGGTAACCAGCCGCGCGTGGGCGCGCCCAGCAAAATCTCAAACTGGACCCCAACTCTCGAAGTGCTGCTTGTATACATGTAGGTATACACGTCGCGACTGCCATCATTGCAGGATTATCCGGATAATCGGTGATGCTGGTATGCCGGTTTTGAGCCTCTACACTACGTATTTACTACGAGAGTTGAAGAAACGCGAGGATCGGCTCGTCTCCTATACAGATTCCGATTCTTTCGAGATCGTGCACCTACTATGTGCTACGTATAGCACCTATTGTCGCTTGACAAACGAAATAAATTAAGGTTGGCACACAACGATAATGATAAAAAAAAAAAAATAAACGTGGCATTGAATATGGATGTTTAAACTTTGGAGATCGGTAAATCCATAAGCTGCTCGAGGGTATCGTGAAACCGATGATCAAGAATATTCTCTCGAAAGGCTTTGCGTCGTAGGCGTCTTGTCGAGGAGGTTTTTGACTCCACATACAACTCGCTCTTCAGGGCCAAAGGAGAAGCGAGTCGAGAGATATCACGTACTCCACGAATATCGCGGGGAAATGAACTCCTCGATCGACGCGAGCCGCAAACCATGGATTCACAATGGAAATCACACGTCACGCGCCCCAAACTCCCTTTTGGGTATTTCATGCGTATGACATGCATTTGTTATATTATTCATATCCTGGAACTTGGTGTACGCGATTTAATGGCAAGATATTGGGAGCAATGGCAACAGGAAATTAAATCGAGGGTGTCTGTATCGGCAGGGTGAACCGATCGGGCGAGCAAACAAACAAGTCGGGGAGTATCGGTTGCAAAAATTGAGCTTGACGTTTTCAAGGATTCACGGGTAAATATTGTCTCGCGTACGCGCGGCAGCAGCACGTATCGGCTCTATATTTATTGAAAACTCGTACGCGAGTTTATTGAATGAGCGTCGGGGGTTTTGCGTGTCACGTTACTTTGATCTCGCGTACTCGTGGCTTTAACGATTTTTTAATTTATTTTTTCGATCTTTCAACGTGCATCCGAGTATATACATATGCAAATCGATTTTTATGTGGCAAACTTGACAACAGTCGAAAATCAACCTTCGTGGGCGCGTGTGGCCGATGCATCGAAAACAAATACGAAGCGAGATGTATTCGGGAACATGGGACGCATTTCCAAAGCCGAGCACGTACGCGGGCCGTGGAGAAATTTGCGACTCTTGTTTGGCGTTTTTACTTTTTTGTCGAAAAAAAAGACTTTTGATCAGAACTCGTTCTAACATAATTTACATACCAAGAAAAAGGGTAAAAAAAAATTGTTATTTAATTTGTCATTATTGGGCACATTGTTTTATACTTTATTGTCTTCGCAACTGATAGAACTGCAATTAGCATTTGCTAAGTAGCACAGTTTATTTCTACCAACTAGACTACACTGATAGAAAAATCGTATGGTAAAAATGAGAATTTCTCTCGGTTGACATGGGGCTTTGATTATTATCCTTTTTTTTATATTTGACGTAACACCTGTATAAAGTCACGTCACACGTTTTCGATCGAATCATCCGATCGCCGCGTTTCTCGAAATTACTCAAAATCGCAGACGGTGTCTCGGGAAGTTTGCCAAAAGTCTGCACGGAAATTCGATGTATTACAGTTTCCGTATGTTTGTCCATGAGAGCATCGCATAACTTTTGTGAGTAAATATATTACACGGTTTGACTTTTTCAACCCTATGTCATCGTCATCATTTTACTATCATCTCTGGTATGAAGATCTCGTCCGAATTTTTTCATCAAACGTCAATCAATCGTTTGATTTAACTCTTGAGATACTAGAATCCAGATTTTTTTCCTTTAATTTAAATAGATCAAACTTTAACAAGCAACCTTGGTCGGTTTCATACAAACTTTTTCGATCAAAGACAGACTTTCTATCAAACGAGTTTTTCTTTATACCTTGTAATTTTCTTATTGCATAATATTATTTTCTTGTTTTTTAGCAGTAGTGTATAAAAGTTAATGATGTGCCACATAAAAGCAAGCCATTAAAACATCACCCGATTTTATATGATGCAAGAATCATACTAAAAACAATCGTTTTTTTATCACCCATAACATTACTTATGGGTACATAATTATGTAATAGCCAAACGATGGAAAGAACACCAGAGTACTCGTATCTCTATGTATATACGTGCTCAATCAGCCAATCACAGCATCCAAAAACTTTTGTCTTTTCAATGCCAGTGATATTTATTGTAGCAAGTCGTTTGTCCGAGATAACTTACGGAGCACGTATATATACGGCTATGTTTCGTACATTTACCAACGCGATCGACACGACCCGGGAAAGACGTGAGCGGGTATATATAAAGTATGGTTTGAGAGCTTCTCCTCTCTTTCGCCGAATAGATTTTTTGTTTGGGTCTCCTTTGCCTTTTGATTTTCGTGGAATCACAATAGGATCTGGTAGCAAATAGAAAAAATGAAAGCTCTGATGTAAATTTTTGCAAGAAGCCGAAGTGAGTGAGAAAAAGATGGAGAGTTTTGATCTTAGTAATTTAGTTGGACTCTCGAGCATTCGATTTTACAAAATATACTAGATTCAAATACTTAGTAGCAAAATCAAGGATTTATTTTCGAAAAACTTAAAAGCTTGACAAAAGTTGAGATAAGCCAATAACAATGAAAATATTGTGTAAATCTTGATCTCTTGCAGATTTCTTGGTTTATGATTTAATTGCAAAAATAACATCGAAACAACGCTGCAATGTTATAAAAATATGTGCATTAAAAAAAAAATTTTTTTCTATGATTTTCATACGATTTTAAACAAAATCACAGAATTGAACACACACGGTCAATTTATCTCTGCTCGACAAATGTAAATCGAATAATACACACAAGTACTTTTTCAGGCTCGCTCCTGAAAATTTTTAAGGACTCGAGCTAAAAATCACTCGACAACTCGAGTCGATTCCATCGATCAATACAAACTCTTCCTGCTCCTGCATCGGTATACAAAAATCTGAATTGTCAAAGTAGCCTATACATTTCTCAGCTTCCCAGAATCACGCGACTTTTTTATTAACTCGAAATAAAAGCTCGAAAAGTCGTACACACCTATACAACATTGGGAACACGAATTAACTCTCATGATTCTTAATGTGGTGACAAATAATTTATGAGTCTAGGGTACACTTCTGTAGAAGAGCGATTCCGAGGAGGGTAATGGAGTCGTTTTCGTTGAAATAAGATTGAACAATCAAAGCAAAGTGAACCCGAAATTTATTTATAAATCCGATACAGTTTCTTTTGATTTGTTGGGAAAAAAAAGTGTCCAAAAGATGTTATTGCCCCAGATGCAAATGAAACATCTCGAATTGGAGATAAACTTAAACGTGAATCTTGTTTTCTCGCAAAGAAGATGATACAGCTCGCGCCTTAAAAATAAATTGTATTTTGTTTTGTCTTTAAAACCAATAAAATCTCAAAGCTACACTGCACTCTGCCCAAGTATACATACTCGACAACTCAAGCAACTTAATTCCGCTCATAATCCCGTCGTCACGCAAAAGAAAAGCTCGAGTCGCATCGTGTACATTCAATAACACACCATTGTAATAACATTCCATAATAAATAATATTAGTACGTATTACCTTATAAGCAATGAATTTGAAGCGATAAAAAATTAAAAAATGAATATTCACTTAACCAATCGATCAATTATCCCGACGACTGCACAATATTTTTTATCGTACTTCGTGACGTTCAGTCCGCGTCAAAGGCATACATTTCACCTCTCCGAATGTGCGCTCCGTCTGCAATCACACGGGGAAACATGATACGTTGCATCTCACGCAGCACCTACATATATATCTTTATTGCCGATACCAGATACGAAGTTAAAGTCAATCTGGAAATCGAAAAAAAGCTCCCGCGACCGAGTGATTCGGCACTTGGATCCTTTTTTTTCCAAGTATCGATGTATACGTACGTTCCACCGTACGACGCAAGCTGCGTCCTACTTCCACCTTGGCAGTGGCTTGTGCTGTTGAGCCGTGAAACTTTCCCTAGAGGCGTCGAGCTAAAAGAGTAAGATAAGCGAGTGAAAAAAACAAAGCCAAGCAATGATAAACAATCACTCGCGACGGGGGGGGGGTCCATTTGATTCCGCGGAAAAACGTGACGCGGCCCATCTATTTCTGGGATGTGTGGAAGTGCTGTTACGCAGTCTTGGACAGCTTCGGGAGCGAGAACGTGGAATAAAGAAAGAAAGAGCTTTTTGGCTCGAAATCGGCTATTAGCGAGAAAGCTTGACACACTTTTTTTTGTCTCCCACACCGTGTTCTCTTGTTTCGGAGGGGAGGGTCGCCATAAAGAAGCTTTTCTTCTTTCGCAGCGCAGAAGTACAAGACTCGCGATTTTCTTGTTCATCGAGTATGAAAAACAATTAGCACAGCTCTCGTACGGGGTGTTGCAAGGGCAGGCAGTAATAATACAAAGGTGCCACGTGTCTGCGTCCAAACAACCTCACTTACGTGGATGATGTCATAAATAGAGTAGATACGGCAAGAACAATATACCCACGAGCTTGTCACGCGCAAACCAGTTACTATATACGTATACACCCACACACGCGCAGCCAGCGTTTTTATAGGTGCACGAGGCATAAAATAGGCGTACAACGTAATCAAGGCAATCGATGGGTGAAACAAACGGGACTGCGATAAAGAAAAAAAAAAAAAAAGAATAAGCCGCAAGCTTCGATCTATCTATAATAAGTCGTAGGCCTACGTCACTGCTCGAAGCTTTTTTATCGAGTGAGGCGTAAAGCTGCGTCTGTCGCTTTTTTGCATGTCTGACGTCATTGCCGAAGGAGGCAATCAGCGTCCCATGGGTGTTTTTATGTTCTGCTCGAGCGAAATATGGGCACAAAGAGATTATCATTCATCAGAGGAGACCCTGAGACGCGAGCTTTTTTTTGTCGCGCATTGCATAATCGGAATCGCGTCTACGCTTTTCATGGTGCTTTTACGGGCAAAAGCTTTTAGCTATTACCATGAAATTGGTCATACCCGGCCCATGTGATTAATCAACGACAAACTCGATGCCCTTGTCCTTGCGCATTTGACGCAGAAAGCGTTTGTTTTATTACATCGAGTCATAACAATCGCCCCTTTTTTTCGCAACTCGGAACGAAAAGAGGGTTTTTTTTTTTTTCAATACGCCATCAACGTGGGGTTACGAGTTGTGGTTTTTTTTTCCCTCCTCGATGTGTTGGCTCATTCCAGTTATGGAAGGGAACTTGGGATTTGTTTTGATTGCGTGAAACCGAGTAGTCGTACTAAAAATGTTTTACTTCATCCAACCTAATTGAGAGGAAAAAAAGAGTAAAAAATTTTTAAAAAAACATGAAACTCCGGGAAAGGACGTAATGGACTTTTTTAATGGAAAAACCAGCGAGATCGCCGAAGCAAGTGCAAGAGAAATAAATGAATCGAGAATAACTGGCGTGTGTTTCTTGGTGAGCGAGAGCAGCGTTAAATTTAAATGCAACGATCGATTCGCGTGTTTACAAAATTGAGTGCTAATAAAACAACACCGAAAGACTGTACTCGCTTCCGGGTACAGAGGCACTTTGAGCCCAGCTCCAAATAGAAAAGAGGGAACGGGAGACCGAAAGAAATTAAAAACACGCGATGCAAGCAAGTGGTGATAAAGTCCTTTGAAGCTTAAAATATTCAATGCAACAATAAAAACAATTCGACAATCAATCGAAAGGAGGACATTCATCGATGCAAGTACGTAGGAAATGATGCAAGCACGAAATTCGGATGAAAGCTCGTTCGGACGATGCGATGGATTCGCAATAAGATCGAAAATTCTCCGGGATAAACGTGTAGTTTCATGGCAAACATCTCCGAAAACGAGTGGGTCCTCCAGCGATCAAACACACTGCGCCAAGATAAAATTTGCCCCGAGCTTTAAAAATTGCAATTTCGCCCTTGCAATGTACTGAGCGTCGGACAGGTTCATCAGCCCCCACAGGTGAAACCTCCAGCTCCACCCACGCTCCGTCATTTCTGCGAGCCAAGTTCTACGCCACGGACGTGCTGTAGCAAAGAAAATGAGCTTGCAAGCTCACCTCTGCGAATGTCCCTGCCCTTGGGGACACAGATTTCTCTTTTTTTTGTGCAAGTACCTTTTCTCATACAGAAAGTTTTCGCGAGTGATTTCACGGAAGCGTCAAGGGGTATTTTCGGATAATCCAGGTCTGGTGTGGTGTTTGTTGCTTCCTTATAATCCGAGCTCTAGATGCACCGGAGCTTGACTCAGTTCTTTGCCAGACCTCTCCTACTCCCGGGTTTTCGCGCTGCGTATCAAAATCAATCGTATAAATAGTCCCTGGCTCGACTGATAAATAAATAAATTATCAATTAGCACCGAATTTGCATGCGCGCACTTTGTTTTTTTCCTTTGGGTAACCCAATATAACTTCCAATGAAGCCCCGCGCGGTCCGCGGCAACTTTGTCAACAATATATACGCACGCCGAGCGCGGCTGCAAATAAAAATCCCACTGATTGGAGCTGCTTTGCTCGTCGTTAAAAAAAAAAAAAAAAAAAAAAAGTTTTCAAAAACAGCTACGGTCCCAGTTTACAAAAATGACGCATCCTCCTTGATTGGGTGAGCAATCTTTTTTTTTTTTCCATCCACGATACTCCAGTCGATCGGGACAAAAGCTAGCTGTCATTGGATACGTACTAAGAGCATCCTCTCGAGCGCAAAATCGATATTCCCGATAATTAACGGATCGCAAAACGTTAAAGGGTAAGTGTATACGTATGTATATATATATATGGCTGTGCTTGCGGTGTACGTATGTCAAGTACACACTATACGCTCTCGACCACCTTTACGAGCCTGTATATATACATATACACACATGTACACAGCAGAGGGTGGTGGCGGTGCAGAGGCGCTCCCGCTTGCGCGTTGGCTCGGCGCCGTCTATAAAAGCCCGGGAGGGCGTCGCGACGCCTCCAGACGCAAGTGAGCGAGCAAGCGAGCGAGCACGAAAATGTGATCGCGCCTCGGTCGTCCTCAACGTACCGTCCGACAACATCCCCAGCCAGGAGCTGCAGCCCGTGACACGAATTTCGAGGTTTCGACGGACCGTACACAGTGTAACGAGGGGCTGTTTCTTTGGTGATTTGTTGTGCTGGTGGTGGTGGTGGTTTCGAGGATTTCGCAGGACTCTGGCGGTACAGGCGTGTACGTCAATCGAGGCAGTTCTGTGACTTTCCGAGTACAAACGATAACAAAGACAAAGGAGAGAAACAATTAAATAAACTGTTAGGTTTAGTAAAGACGAAACGTGGTTAGTTAAAGTTTAGCCGATGGTGATCATAACGTCGAGCAAGGACTCTCTTCGAGAACGAGCCTTAGAGGGACAGCCATCGCAAAAGGTGAGGATTGCTTTTTTTTTTTTTTTTTTAATTTTCAAGGTTTTCAAGGGTATACGATTTAAGTTGTCAAGGTGCGAAAAAAGCGCAATTAAAATAGACGTGACAAGCGCGATAAAAGCTCTCTCTTTGCGGGGGGTGTATTGGGAAACGTTGTACCTGTCGCGGGGGCTGATTGATGGATGATTGAGAACCGGCGCTAAAACCGAGAACGGAGCAAAGGTTTTCGAAGGAAAAAAAAAAAAAAAACTATTATCCAAATTTACCTGTCACTGTCACAACGTTGCAAAAGTGTATATATGTAGTGAGCGTAAACATTTTGTTTTGAAATGTCTTTTTTCGCTTCGTATTCCCGGTACACCGCCCATGACGTCAATGCATATTTGTTTTTTGTTTCGCATTGTTGAGAATTTTTTTTTATCTTTTTTTTCAATCGTAAAAAATTTTTAGTGGGTAATTTTTTCTTTTTTATTCGGTTTATAATAAATTTGATGAGCAATAAGACTCAGCGATGCATAAAATCACCAAAGAGATATCCCTTCGTTAACAACATTGTAATTCGAATGAACGCGAATGAAATAATAATAATAATAATAACGCTCCCGCGCTCAACGAGCGGTTCGATGAGTACGCCCTTTAATAAAAATACGAAGGACATGGACAAAATAAAAGGCGTGTATAATTATAACGCAAAAGAAAAACCAATAGCCACTGCGTCTGTATTTTTAAAAGAATGGCAAAACTTTTCACTGTCATCTACCGCTATTGTCTGGGATTGAAGGAAACGTATCGCATCACTTGTTACAGTGTTCGACCCGCGCGTACGTGATACCTCATATACATGCACTTGTTTGTATATCCACGCAGTTAATCGCGAAAAAGTACTTTTGATGTATACTTACTTGTACAAAGACACACCTCCGGTTGACGCAGAGAAAAAAAAAAGCATGACCACTGCTTCCGCGAACTGTGCGTAAAATAGGTATGTATAACATGTACGTGTTTCTCGAAACACGCGCGCACGCCTCCGCGAGGGATTCAACAGTCGTTATTTATCACTCGGGGCAAAGAAAAATAATTACCTCCTCTTTCTCCTTTTTTTCCCCCTTTTCTACCCTCTTCGGGGGGAAAAAAAGAAATACAAATGAAACTCCCAGCCGAGATTAATTGAAACAGAAGGAGCGAGACGGAAAAAAAACACGCGACCTATTGGAAGCACCCCTAGTCGACACTGCTCTCCATCAGCCCTGCCTCGATTGTCGCGTCCTACGGCTGTTTGTTGGTATAGCCTCCCCCAAATGCGATGTGCACATATACGTGCCGGGTGAATCAATATATATCGCAGTATCAGCCCCCCCCCCCCGAGGTACGCGAACTTGCAACTCTTGGACACGCCGTAAATGCCGAGCTTTACTTACACACAAGTTGACAAAAAGCTCCCACCCGGAAGACAATCAAGGCTGTTCTCGCGAAGCTCTATGTGCCGATTGGGCTTGCAATAGAATCAAGCCCGTAATAAATGACGTCCCGTAAAAAAGCACGGATACAAAAGCTCGGCTGGCTAAGCTCCAAGTCGACGGCTAGCGCCAAGGTACTCGATTATCGATCGGTTTTGCTGTTGTCGTAGAGCTGGAGTCCTTTTTGGCACAACGTTCGCGCTCCTCGTAAATCCCCTTCGTGAGAATTCTAAGGGAAAGAGCGCGAGGAATTTAACGGTGACGGCCCCTAATATGTCTCGCATCTCGACCGAGGTCTTTCGGGACTCTTGCACGTTTGTAGCTCGTGTGACGCAATAAGAACAGCCACTCGTCGCACGTTGTATGATTACTGGGCAAAAGGTGGTGTGAACCAGGTACACCGACTTTATTTTTAGAGCTCACGCGGTACGCGACGCCGACGTCATAGGCCCTTATGTTGCGAGGTAGAAGTGCAGAGTTGCAATTGATTCGCTACTTTGGTATCTCTCGTGTATATTAAACATATGGTAGCTCACGTGCAAAATTACATTGTTCCCCGAATCCTCGTACCATACGTAACTAATCAGTAACACCGATGCAACGTAAAAAGCTCCTGCCTCCCTGTCATTTATGCACCTCCTAACAACCCCTTGATGACTTCGACTTGTCAATTTAACATTTCGTTTATACTTTGTCATCTTTTCTGTTACAATATTATGTATACACAATGGTTTACATGATCCATCGAGAATAATCGCATGAGAAAAACAAGACTAAGATCAACTCCAACGACTACGCACCAATCTGGAATAAAAAAAAAAATAATAATAATAATTAAAAAAATTACGTAACATTGACAGCTTTCCCATTAAATTTTTCCCACACCGATGGCACACGAGATAGCCGCGCTCTCGGACGCATTACAGTAACCGAGTGGGAGTCGCATCGAAAAGCTCACCTAACGAGCAAACAGCTGAGGTATAATATACACACGTACAACAGCAACAAAACTCATTTCACGCTCAGACGCGGCTAACTTTACCCCTCTCCCCCCAGCCTTTTGTGCTCTCGTCACCGCGATTATGCAAGCCCCTTGTCCCCGATGACGCAATTGCGAACGACGCGCCTCGTCCCTCTGTCCACCTGCATTGTTCGATCCACGCGAACAGGTACATATATATATATACACCCGTACAAGTAGCCTCCCTCGCATCGACCACCATCACGCTAGACACACGCAACCAGACAACAGAGAGAGAAAAAAAAGTGGCTCTTTTGCTCGCGATGGGAAATGATAGCAGCGGCACGATAATCCGATGGCCTTGACTGACGGAGCGATGTTGGGAATTGTGTGTTACAGATGAAGCTGCACGAAAAAAAGGAGTCCAACATCCACAGGGTGAAGGAGGTGCAGCTCGAGGAGCTCGAGCTCGGCCGAGAGTACAACGTTGAAAAGAGCCTCGGCGAGGGTAGCTTCGCGAAAATCTTGCTGGCCACCCATCGTCGGACCCAGACCCGCGTCGTCCTCAAGGCCGTCCACGAGGAGCTTACCAGCGAGCGCGACTTTTACCGGGAGTTTCACTACTCGTACCACCTGAGCCCCCACCCCAACATCCTGTCCTCGTACGCCGTGGCTTTTCGCGCCGACAACTGCTACTGCTTCGCCCAGGAGTACGCCCCGTACGGTGATCTCGCGGCCAACGTGCGCCAAGGCGGACTCAGCGAGGACACCTGCAAGAGGATAGCCGCCCAGTTGGCCTCGGCCCTCGACTTTGTCCACTCGAAGCAGCTCGCCCACCGGGACGTCAAACTCGAGAACGTCCTCGTCTTCGAGAAGGACATGTCCAAGGTGAAGCTCTGCGACTTTGGGTGCACGAAACGCGAGGGCACCCTCGTCAGCAAGCTCAGGTGCACCTGGGTGCCCTTCCTACCCCCGGAGATACACGAGATCGTGAAGAACGAGAGGTACACGTGCAAAAGGAGCGCCGATTGTTGGCAATTCGCCATAGTCCTGTTCGTTTGTTTGACGGGCAATCCGCCCTGGCAGAGCGCCGATCCCATCCAGGACCCCGACTACTCGGCCTTTCAAAAGTGGCTCAAGCGCCGCACCACCAAAATCCCGGTGGGCTTCCGGCGCTTCAGTCCCCGGCTGTTGCGCTACTTCCGGCGCGTCTTCGAGCACAAGCCCGACAAGCGGCCCGCCGTCACCGAGATCAACAAGTACCTCAAGGACGCGTGGTGGGCCCCGAGCAAGCAGCACCACCTGCTCAGCCACAGCGCGACCTCGACCTCGGTCGACGCGAGCGAGAACTTTCCCGGGGTCAGGCGGGCCGACAGTCTCCTCTACCTGAACACCATCGTGGACGAGCGCCACAACGCCTGCGACGAGAACAAGAACCGGCTGAGGCGGCTTTTGAACAGCTACGGCCTCGAAACCACCCTCGACCAAAGGGACATGACCAAGAGGGTCTGGGAGTGGGTCATGCAGTGCGACTCGAGCCTACAGGGGGACTCGTCGGGGTTGATCGGGCTGTCGGATTGCGGCTCCATTTGAGTGGGCATCAACAAGTCCCTCAGCGAGCCTCGCCTCGCGGACAAGCCGCCCGTCAGCCGGAGCTGCAGCTGCATCGATATTCCGGCCGGGGAGCCTCGAGCCCTCGCCCCACCGCACGCCCATGGACTCCGGTACGAGTTGTTTTAGTGCGAAAGACTATATCGGGATCGCTCGTGTCCGTGTACATATATATTAATTACCACATACTGGTATACATAGTTGGCCGTTGCTCTTCTTCTAGTTGTTGTTGTTATATACTGTTGTTCCTTCGTGTTGTTATTAGCTGTTGGTCGGAGCCAAAGGTTTTTCTTTTTTTCGTTTGTTTACTTTATTTTATTTTTTTTATTTTTTTTTTGTTGTTATTAGCTGTTGGTCGGAGCCAAAGGTTTTTCTTTTTTTCGTTTGTTTACTTTATTTTATTTTTTTTATTTTTTTTTTTTTATTTTTTNAAGGACAGTCGGGCCTGTACGGGAAAAGCGAGGGATGGAGAGCCGTATATAGGGAAGGGGTGGATCGGGCGAGATCGAAGAGGCTTTTTGTAGACGTTTCACGCACACAGGCGCTGGCACGTGTCAAAGGTTGTTCAATTTTTTTTTTTTTTTTTTTTTTCACGTGCCTTTGGACTCGAGTCGTTATTAGCTGTTGGTCGGAGCCAAAGGTTTTTCTTTTTTTCGTTTGTTTACTTTATTTTATTTTTTTTATTTTTTTTTTTTTATTTTTTTTTTTTTTTCGGTAAGTGTGTAATGTAGTTGTACTAGTCAAAGAGAGAGAGAGAGAAAACGAAGGCTTTTTTTCTTCTTTTGTCCCTTAGGCAGAGGGTGTAATCATTGCGCTGTTGTAATAGCTATTTTGCAAAGTGCCTCGAGAGGTTTCGCGGTGTACTCGTAATGAGACAATAAAGGGGGCTTTTGCGCCGAAAGAGGCTAACCAATTGTTCGAATTAACCGGAACGGCCAATGAGTTGGTTTCGTTTGTTTATGAGGCAGGTGTGATGTGGTTGGGTTGTTATACATATAATTAATGTGTGTGGACTTTCTTTGACGAGCAAAGCTCGCTAGTGCCGAGACTGACGAGTGAAACGATTTAAATGTAGTTGCAATATTGTAGAGTTCGCGTGAAATAATTGGTACCCAATAAACTCAAATGGTTTACCGAAACGAGGGTATCCTGATTACTGGCTCATTATCCATCAGCACTTGCTCCATGGGTCCAAAATTAATAAATGTGGTGCTCGAATAGTGTGAAAGAAAAAATGGGACAACCATGATGATATACGAATAAGTAGTGTACTCGTCGTGTACGTAATATTCATTTGATTCGAGTGAACAACCAAATTCTAAATTTTGTTTGTTTCCCCGATTTTGGTATAAGGTTACACGTTAAGTGGAGAAGTTACATCGTTGTAGTTAATGTGATCTAGACAAAGTTTATATTAAAACGTTATTTTATACCTTTAACCAAGATGACGATTGTTCGTGGCCCTACCCTACATGCGTAAATCAATTACTTTACGATAAAAGTCAATGGAAGCTTTTTTTAATCAAATGAATCATACAAGTGGAATCAAATGTATTCAATATTATCCAAATGTAACTTACAAAACGGTGTCTTACCAAACTCTCCATCATTTTAAACCTTTGGTTTTTAAAAGGTACAAAAAATTTACCAAAAATTACAAAAATTCATGTAAAATGTCAATTAAGAACTATAACCCATAAAATATAACGGTATATACTTTCTGTATCACAAAAAAAATATGTATTTCCGATGGAGAATTGAAAAAATGAGTAAATATTTTAGCAACTCACATGTATTGTAGTATCGATGTTACCTTTTTTACCCACAGTCTTACCAGTTCTACGAACATTTGTATGCGTACTGTTGGAATAAAAGAGACTAAAGAACAGAATAAAATAACACAGGAAATATATGGATGGATGGGTAGTTAAGGGTGAGAAGTAATGGTAACAACAAATAAATAATCTAGCCGCCAAAGCCTAAGGAAACTTTTTCAAGCAATGAACGAAATTATTGCATGGATTCGAAGCCTATACTAAGTGACGTACTGGTGCGTTTATATATTTGTACCTTTACATTTGTTGAAAACGAAAAAAAAAAAAAAAAAAAAAATACACGATACTCGTACACTGATACACAAACACTCAAACCATGAGCGATCTCACTAAAGTTGTGTAAAACTTTATTTTTAAGTCGAAATTATTCGTTGTATTATATAGTGATATGATATTAATGTACATACCGAGAGATATACGAAAAAAAAACCTAAATGTGTATATACAATTCGATATCGACGGCAATCGTGTCGTAGAAACTGTGTTACGTACTGATGATTTTTTTGTACATAAAAAGGAAAAATAAATGTTTAATATTAAAATAAAATAAAAAATTACCTACTTATGCCACTTTTTTCACAAACCGATATACGACTCATTTTCACCACTGTATTAACATTCAAGAGGACTAGTTTTTTAAATTTTGATTTCCAAACAAACCAGTTGCAGACACAGAAATACTGTAAAAATGAGCTCAGCTGCTCATGCATCGACTCAATTTGTTCGCAGAGAAGATAGGCAGAGTAATTTGTATGAAATACCTCAAAGCTTTTCTACGACCGATTGCTGGGAGAATATGTCGAGGAATGCAAAGATAAAAAAACAAGAGAAACATGATGAAACATCGAGCTACTGATGATTTCCCTCCCTTCGTCCGATATACCCTTGAAAATTCGGAGATATACGTACATACAGTGGCAAGATAATGGAAAACGCGTTGAGCCACCGGGAAGTTAGAAAACTTAATTAACGGAGCACGCCCAGCCACTATTGAAGTTGAGTCTCTCGCTCGTGGCTTTGGCGAGCTGTAAAGAGATTTTTAATTTAAAGACCGGCGTGGCCCTTTTATCAGCTCCGCGAAAAAATAGCTCGAACCCAGAGTAGTCGATGAGGTTAGCTGTTACGTCATGGATTTCAATGAAACTTTGCACATTGAATGAACAATCTATTGGGACGCGAGTCATTGTTGTACGGAGCACTGAAACTTTGGCCTATTAAGAAGGTAATTGCTCGGAAATAACAGTTTCCACGCGACTCGGGCACAAGCGCACGACCATCGCGCTTTTCCAACAATGAAGTTGTACTTCACGTTCTAGTGACGAAAACCACTAATCTACTCACCTAACGGTTGTACTGTAACATTGAATATACCTACATTATTCAAGATGTGTTTGTACGTATTTATTCTCGTACAAAAGATGCATAAAAAAAAAAACCTGCAATGGAGTAGGGGTGAAACCAAGCAGTATAACCCCTGCAAAAGTAAAAGATAAACATAATTGTTTTCAGAGGTTAGATTAAGCTATTACAATAATTCTGCCCCTCGTAGCTTCATGTCCTTCACAATTGCACATTCCAGCCTTTTCCTCTCTGCCATCCCTTGACAATATCAAGGACATCAGCTTCTCTCGTTCTCACCATCGTCATGACAACGGAGGTATAAGCGGGTGGTTCGCACAATATACTGTATTCCCGGCAAGTTGAGTCGATGGGGTAGGTGAAGGTTTCGAACGGTACACCTCGAGGAAGATCTACTCCAATTTTTCATGAAGCCTTTGATTGAAATATCCATATGACTCTGACTATCGATACTTGTTGCGGTCTTTTTCTTGGAAACATTCGATTCTCGTGGTGAAAAATGTTGGACAATTATGTGGGTGTCAAATTTTACAAGTAAACGTTGTCCAGCCAATAAAAAAGATTTTCGGCACGACAATCCAAAAAAAAAAAAAAAAAATATTTCTAGAATATTTCGCAGAATCGCAATATATATTTGAACTCACGAGTCGTGGATCCAAAATTAACTTCAAAATAGATGAAAGTGTTGCGCGTTAGTTTGAGCTTTTTTTTTTTTTTAATTATCGTTTGAAAAAACACATCGGATTTCGTTCATAATTTTAAACAAAATGACTTCTGGTTTTTTTTTTTTTTTGTTTATTGACTTAACTTTTGCAATTTGCCTATTGCCTATGAATCGTCGGTGAAGTGAATATAATTTAAACAGGTAGAAGAAATAAGAGTCACACAAATTTTCTTTAATAATTTTATTTTATCGTTTATAATCTTAAACAGTAGTGGCTATAGGTGAACGGAGTTATTGATTCAGATCATAATTTATTGTAAATTGTAGTCCATAAAATAATCAAAATTATTTTTTTAAGAAATTGCAAACAAGCTAAAAAATTTTTCGCTGCTAAAATTGAGGAAGTAATTTAATAAAAACACGTAGGTTGAAATTTTTTTTTTTGTTATTCTCCATGTTTGTGAAATAGTGAGACAATGCCTAAGTAAACAAAAAAAAGGAAAAGAAAGGCAAAATTTGATTGTACCTCCTCAGTTTTTAAAGCGGTCATTTGAGATGTATTTATAGATACGTGAAATTATTTTTATTTCAAGATCCACCAGAGGCTATTTTCCTCTTAACCTCAAATCTCTCGCGTACATCTTCAATTTGGAGGGTCAATTCAGACACAAAAATGATTCTAACGATCATTTAAAAATAGAAAACTTGAAACTCGTAATTCATCATAAAAGAGCTGGTAAGCGGTTATTTTCGTTATTCTCGAGTCTCGAGACGCGCCTCCTCTCATCCAAAATGTCTTCAAACGCCGTTTACCAAGCAATTACACTACGCGCCGGTTGATCAATGGGCGAGCGGCTTCTCGGAAAAATAAAATGTTTTTCAAGATGTCTTATAAATTTCAACTGTTCCATACAAACACGCTAGACAATATTCAAATTTTTGCCAAAAATAATAAATTTTGCTGCAATAAATACATCACTTTCCACGATCAATAGTCGAGAAAATCTTAACTCTTGTAAGTATACACATGTAATTTCGCCCAAGACCCGTTCTGACCACGTTCCAAAATCATCGTCACGATACTTGTGTCGGAGGAGCACGATGAATTTCCATTGATTTGACCTAAACTGTTGCCCGAAGCAAACAGGTGACCGAAAATTATCTTGGCCCTAATGATCTTGCCAAGAAAATAACCAATTTGGTACGTCCATGTAACTTTAATCATTAATCACTCGCTTAACTAATTAGGGATCGTTGACTAGAAAATTTGCCGTAAGTTGCATTACCAAGTTTTAATGAAATTAATTTCAAGCTTTTCCTCCCCCCTCTACAGCCCAGGGCTCTTGTTCGTAAGGAAATTTTAATAATCAAAACTTTTTCGTATTGTATTGTAATCTTGTTATCTCAAGTACTTGTGCAAAAAGTTTCAGTTCTTTAACTGTGTATTTGAGAGGTCAAGTGATTTATTTGAAAAAAAAACAG